ATACTATACAACAAATTTATTGACACAAGCTGTATTTATTGACCTGGATAGTTTTCTATATGAGTTTAATACAAGCTGGTGAATATAAAACACAACTAGAAGAATTTTAGGTGGATGAATGCTGTCCTCAGAGTATTCATTTTTCAAATAGTGAGCAGAAAAAGGCAAGGAGGTTTTGAAAATAATTTGTTTCATCTGTTCCACCCCTGCAGGCTTTTTACACGCTCCTAGAGGCTTGTGTTTAGTGAAGATGATAGGTTTTTCTTTCAAAGGAAAGACAGAATGAAGTATCAGCAAATGTATGTAACAACCTCTGACCTAATTCTGCTATTGTGAAAATAATTTACTTGCTGTGAAGACTGTCAGATATTTCTCAGAATGGTGGTTCTTAAACCTCCCAATAAGACTGACATTAGGTGAAAGCATCCACGTTTTCCACATCCCACAGATAAAAGATTCATTAGTGTTAATGCACATTAAAGACAAAAGGTTGAGCACAGGGGATGGGATTTCATTCAGGTGTACTTCACCTCTTAGAAATATTAGCATGCATCAGCAGCCTTTATTCCCTGGCACAGTTTTTTCTGACCAACACTCCTTAATAATTGGAATCTCTTTGATCTAACAGTGCTGACTCACACGTCCTAGCAGCTGCACAATTCAGATCAATATTTTTTGTAACTTGTGGTATGCTGGCATTGCCAGTCTTCCTACTTGAAGAGAAGTACTGGATGATTCACATGCTTGAGTTCTTGTAGGCATCTGCAGCTGACTGTTGTACAAGAGGGAGGAGCTGACCAGCCCTTGCACTGACCAAGTGCCCTGCTCCGCCCAGTCACAAGGCTCTTTACTGAAAACAGTTGTGTTTGGGCAACTTTATGCTTTTTAACCTCTGCTCAGGAATCAGCTTTTTCTAGTATATCAAATACTTATGCTGTTAGGCTTCAGTGTGAGAATAAATGGTTGTGTTTGTTTCATGTGATTCTCTTGATGGTTGCTGGCATGTGTGCACACAAGTGTACACTGGAACGTAAGCCTTTTACTTCTTGGTATTGGTATAAACCATCCTGCTTGGAGTTCCCGTGTTCCTGAAGAGAAGTGCTTTGCCCCTAGGAGTTCAAAGGTGCACGTGGAGCACTGGTGCATGCAGATGTGAATGGCTCTGGGTCATGCCATGAGGAAGGAGTGTGGGGAAAACCTGGTGGTGCTATTGGCAGGTTTTTGCCTCCCAGATGTGGTTGCTCTCTGCTGTGTTAAATGAAGTTGCTAAGCTTTGGCAATTTATCAGTAGCTTACCTTGAAACTTAAAGTTATGCTGCTCCTTAATGTAAAGTGATGACCATGAAGAGCTTAAACAGTGAGAATGTTTTGTAGTTAGATCTTTAAAAAAATATACTATGTATGTGTTCTCTTGCATGCCATAAACTAAGCTATTTTACATTCTTTTTGTTTTAGATTTTGGAATCCTGCTTGCTTGAAACAGCTAGATTTTTAGCAAGCTTTTCAGGTGATGTTTAACAAACTCTAAAACAGATGAAACATCTGTTTTAAAAGACAGGATGACATAATAAAGCAGTTACAAAAATACCACTGATACAAAGGAGCAGAGTTTGAAGAACCTAATCCATAGCAGAGTCTCTGTACAGCTGGGTGCAGAACTGCTCCAGCATGTTCCTTGTCCTGTTGCCTTCCCAGGCAGTAATCCTCCTGGATCCAGGATGTGTTGTTTCTTACTTTGCTTTAAATAATGAAGAGATAGATACATAGCCCCAGGCTACAGGTAGTGTTACAGATATTTGAACGATGGTCCATTCAGAAAGAAATACCTGTTCAAGAATGTAGCAAAACTCCTCTGTAGACAGCAGATCAAAGACTTGGTAAACACGAATTAAAAAAGAAAAAAGAAAAGGGTGTAGTGGATCAGATGCTTGACACAGTTTTGAGATAAGCTATTGATAAGCCACTGCTGCAAATATTTGCCTTTGAAACAGTTACAGGAGGATGGTTGATTGAGAGGGGAGCCTGGGGCTTATCTGTGGTTGAGGTCTGGGCTGTGGTGTCATGGCTGGTGGTTCTCTGGAGAGTGTTGGGTGAGGTGTGCACCAGCTAGCAGCAGAAGCTTTTCAACATGTTCCTTAAAACACAGAGGCAGTTGATGAACTGGAAAATCTTTCTACCTCGTTGTAGCTTGAGCCAAGGAAAAGTAAAAAAAAATTTTGCTTTCTGGGAATGGGCTGAGATGGAAGATGCAGTGAAAAAATTTCCTTCAGCGTAGGAGTCAGCGATGCTCATTCTCTTTTTCTTTCTGAATGATTTGAATATGCTTTTACATGTGTTCCTCATGGAGTCTTAGAGGCTGCACAGGGAGCTGAGCACCTTTGGGCTGGTTTTGCCCACAAATGACAAGTGGTGATCATTTACGTGGCAGGTAGCGACAGGGGGACAGAAGAGGTGCAAGCTGTGTGCCAACTAGGTACAGAGGATGCTGTAGCAGTGTTAATGGCTAAATGAAAAAGCAAAAATCCCAGCTCTACCTTTGCCTTACAGCTGGAAAACCTTTCCCCTGAGGCTGCAGGATGGTCATGTCAGCCTGTCCGTAGGATTATGGAATAGTTGTTTCTGGTTTTACCTCTTTTTCTACTTATGGAAAACAAACCTCAGCTGTATGCTCATGTTCAGTTCCTGAATCAGCTCTTGCAACCTAAATTAGACCTGCCCAGGGTGTTGGAGAGGTCAGTGCTCTTGGAGACTGCAGTGGAAACTTGTTTGGAGAGAACCAGGGAGAGCTGGAACGATGTCAGATTGTGCTGGGAAAAGCTGCTTCATGTGGGATGTCTTCAAGGAGCAATTACAAAAATAACACTCACTGTCAGCCAATAGAGCAGAGCAGTGAGTGGATAATAAATACAAAAATCTGCTTTGTATTCTAGCATCTGAAGATGTAAAGCTTTTCTGTTAGAAGTTTGCATGGAGAAAGGTAACATAAAACAGCCACTCTTCTGAACAGCTTGTAGCTACATATTAAATTTTAATGTTGATGAGTCGGACATCTGTTTGGTTTGTTGTTGTTGTTTTGTTTTGTTTTTATTTATTTATTAAAAAAAGTACAGCCGTAGTAAAACTTCTGGCCTGTCAGAAGGGTGTGCAGGCATCTAGATGTTGCACTCTCTCTCCTTTTTATGGCTGCTGAATAGGGAGGATGGCATGGTTTGTGCACAGAATGTGTGTTTTAAGGCTACCTGCTGAAATCCCATTGAACTGAGGGGTGCGGATCAGGACTGACAGGACAAACTGTCAGATACAACAGATTTCTATCTTCTCCAAAAAACGTTGTTTTCACACATTGTATAAAATTAATTTTTTTTCTTAACTGGCAAATGACGAATGAAATTGTTTCATATAAGCAGTTACACCTTGCAGTAAATGTAAACTTGATTTAAGTCCACTCAGCTTCTTGTTCTTGCCTTACAAACAAATGAGCAGATACGTTTTTGACTAATTCTGTATATCATCCTGAGGTTAGATTTGGCTAGCAACATCTGTAACCTGCCACTATGAAAAATTATTTCCAACATGTTCTTCATGGAACTTTTCTTCAATATTCAGCTCTTGCTGGAGGATTAGTTTTCTGCTGAAGAATTAAAAAAAAAAAAAGAATTGCAATGAAAATTGACTGTCAATATTTCTGTATTAAAGTCCCTTGAAGTATCAAAATATGCCAGTTGGTTTGATTTACGTGTGTGTTTGTTTGGAAATGTGTGAACAGAAAATAGAAGTTCTTTCATTGATAGCTTGCTGAAAAATATGCAACTCAAACTGACAAGAGGAGAGGACAGAAAGAATTTGTTTTCAAACATTGGTTGAATGGAAGCAGAAGTGTTTCCCTTTTGAAGGGGATATTTTCATGTATCTTAGTTCCAACTTGCTCTGTATTTTATTAGAGAATGAGTCTAGTTTCAGCTTGAAAAAACAATTTATCACATTCATACAAAATGCTTTTAATCCAGATGGATCTTGAAGGCTGTTAGTAGCATATAGCAGAAACTAGCTTAATTTCAGTATTATGTATCCCTAAATGTAATCTGCCGATCAAGAGGCTATGTATGCTGATCATACAAAAGGTAAAACCAGGAAACAAAAAAATAACGCAGTGTTCAGTTTAAGTGGCTGTGGAAATATGAGCAGGCAGCGTGTTCTGAGGAGTTAATTTTGGATAAAGGCTAAACTGCCACCCACCTCTGTGGTTGCTTGAGAGAGGGTCTGCCTACATTAGCAGCTCCACACAGTGTCCTGATGTAGGTAGCATGAAATACTGGCTGGAGGGAACCCAAGACTCTTGCCTTGAACTGTACAAGAAACCTGATAAGAGTAAATGTCTGTACCTGCAATTAATCTATATGAATACCTACAATTAATTATGTCGTAAATCTGTCAGCTTGCATCTTTAGCTCTGGGCCATGAACAAAGAGATCAGGGTTTAGTTGCACAAATAACACAGAGGAGCTTGTGCCTACAAAATATTTTTTTTGCTGTTACTGCCAAAGAGCAGTAGACTACAGAGAGACAGTTTCAGGTTGGTTGGCTGTAAGTGTTCTTGGAAGTAACACTGCATTTTTGAGAGACACTGTATCTGTGTTAAAAAAATCTTAGTCTGCTTGATGAGAATAAAATGGTCACGTTTCCATATCAGAGTATTTAAAACATTCGGCAACCGTAGTATTTTATAGTGTAGAAAAAGATACAGAAAATTAAGTCCCAATATCTTTTCAGGAAGAGGATGGCATCACAAATCCCTGCATGAAAGTCCCAGTTGCTGAGTGTTTCCTCTTTCCAGCACGGGGCAAGAGGAAGCGCAGATCACGATAATGCTGTTGCTCGGTGCCAGCAAGTGTGGGATGCCATCACAGGAGAGCAGCCCAAGAGGAGAAAAATCCCTCTAGGGCACAGCCCCTGTCCACCCAGGGATGCTGTGTAGTTGTCCCTCCCGAAACAGTGCCCGTATGGGGCAAATGGAGTTTCATTCTAACCTCAGTGCCTGGGTGAGGTTTGTCTGTGAACATCTGGGAGCTCCAGGCAAAGGGGAATTGGTGCCTGCGCTTAAAACCTGCTGATAGGTATTGTTTGTTTAGCTGTTGTCTGAGCTTGTGAATGTGGAGCTGTTTGCTTCGTAGAGGTGGCTGAATGAAGCAAACACTGAACTATGCATAGAAGTGGAGCAGCAGTGCTAAGACCATGTTAATTTTTCACAAAGAAAATTGTTCTGCTCAAGTGAAATATTGTTTATGTTCATTTCAGTAATTGAGCTGTTGTTGTAAGGGCTAGTATTAAGTACAGTTTTCTGTGAATGCTATCACTTCTGTGATGGAAATGTCTTACTGGACAGTGTACTTAACAAGTTAGTTAGCATTTCACCTGCTATTAACATCATTATGTAGTATGAAAACCTGCAAGTTGCTTTAGGATAGCAGTGCTTCTGAAGAGCCTGACAAGTAACTACCTGTCTCTGATATACTGAGGGGAATGTCATCAGACAACAGGGTCCTGAGTTGAAACAAATATACTTAATAGAAAACTTTAAATACAACCAGTGTTTTGGGATTTCAATGATTTTTTTCTTTATGTAGAGATGTTTACATTCACTGGAAGTGAATGCACTTAACCAACAGTACGTCTCTTCTCTTTTAGATTACAGAAGTTTGTGGAGCCAAGCGTGTGGGTTATTTTGGGCCTGCTCAGTTTTACACTGCTTTGAAGTTAATTGCAGCAGCACAGTCAGGTTTCCCAGTACGGATTGAGAGCATTAAGAATGGTGAGTAGCAAATGTTGCTTGCAGCACTGGGCACTGGTTTCCTGCTTGTCAGCTCTCCATGGTGGTAAACTTTTTCTTCTAATGGGTCTATGAAACAATTGTATTTTGAGGAGCAGAGAGAGTATAAGGTAATGTTCCATTCTCTAGGTGACTGGTAGAATACTGCAGTGAATTACCTGCATGGCAAAGCTGAGATGACATCCGTCTCTGGAAAAGCCATTACCAAAGCATTGCTGAATGACTGCTGATCAGTGCTCGGGATTCATTTCGCTCTCACCTTCAGCCTCTAATCTTGACAGCTCTACAGAGGGGGAGCTGATAGCTGCTTCCCGCAGAAGTATGTTGCAGGGTACATGTGCAGGTCGGGCATCCCCCTGTGCAGGGCAGCTTGCAACGTTCATCTGTTTTAGCAAATAATCCTGCTGGAATAAATGGGTAATGGTGACAAAACCATAATGCTTCCTATCAGTAGGTGTGAAAATGTGTATTAGCTGTAATTTTAAACCACTTTGTTCTTCCCAATGAATTGGCAATAACATTAAATGTACCATTTTTTGGTGGAGAAAAATGCTTCTTAAAAACGGCTTATCAAACTGAAGTGTTGAAGAGAGAAGGCGGGTCCCTTTTAGCTATGAAACCTTGATAGTGACTAAATGGAAGGAACTCGATGTTCTTGCCTTGGTGATGCATGCTGTGCCTCAGCAGGGCTCAGCCTTCAAAACACTTGGCTTTTCACTTGGGCTTGAGCCTGAAGAGGTTGGAACCCTTAGCTCCCGTATCCCAGGTGGGCATTCGAACCTTGTGTGAGGCTGTGCTCTGGGCAAGGGTGTTTGCCATCATCTCACTGAAGGCAGGGACGCAACTGGCCACGAGGTCAGGAGGTGGAAGAGGCAGGACCTACCCGTGGCCTCGAGTCGGGTCACCGCTCCCAGCGCAGTCTCTGCTCCGCTGTCCCTGCTAAGGGCAGCGAAACGCCGCGTTCACCCCTGCGACAGGGCACGGGGAGGGGTTCCCGCCCAGGCCTCTCCCCTCCCGACAGGGGGGGGAAGCGGGGCTGGCGAGCGCCTGCAGGCCTGTGCGAGCCGAGCTCCTGCAGCCCAGAGCTCCTGACCAAGGGTGTGGGGTTGGGTGCAGGCGGCACGGTGCTGTTTGGTGCCTCTCTGGAAGGGGAGTTTAAACCAGGGGTGAAGGGGTCCAGCCTGGATTTGTCTGTCAGTTTTCCTTATGGACAGCTTGTGCTCTCTCTTGCATCACAGTCCTTTTTGAGGATGTTTATTTGTGGTTAGGGAAATAAAAAGACAACACCCCCCTCCCAACTAAATTAGAAACCTGAACTAAATGAGATTTATTCTGTATGGTTTATGAGTCCAGGATCTGTAGATAATCCACAACTTTGAGTGAAGAGGGATACATCCGGTCCTTGTACTGATAGCATGCTTACTTACTATTACTGAAACAATTCCAGTGCTAATTACATTTTTTTTCTTGAAATATATGAGTGCCTTTTGAGTGGGGTGAGTAACATGTACCAAGCTCCAATTGATTTCTTTTTCTTCCTAGTAGCAGTTGTAGGTGTAAATGATTACAGAAGTGATATATGGCTTTGCTCAGTTTTAGAGCATTCTAGTAATTTTAATTATATAGATCTTTCAGGGTGACTGTGCACAAAAATAAGTGAAGTTTCTTCAAAATAATAATGAATTGCCTTAGGGTTGCAAAGTGTCGCTTTTCTGTAGAGCAGACTTGACATGGGATCTTTTGACACAGTTGTCTCACCAGGTCTTGACACAATCTCTGAACCCTACCATTTTTAATTTGTTCCTTTTATGATGGTTTGAGGATTGAGGATACTTTGATCCTGACTGGCTAATTCATTAATTCTGCAGTTTCTGTGGGCAACTATTCTTTTCATTACAGACAAAGTTTTGAGGGCACGAAATGAGTTTGCCACTTGCTTTAATAATGGGCACAAGGCTTATTTCTTTCTTTTTGTTATTAAGCAAAACGTAGATTTGTGTAACATTCACATTTTAATTAAGTCAAAATAATCACAGGAGTTCCACATATATTTTGTAACATTTATAAAAATAGTACTCCTTTACAGATAAACTTTTAATTGGTTTTACAAGATTATACCACTTAAAATACTTAGAATGTTCTCTAGTCTCAATTGGATTTTTTTTCTCTTTTAATGAAGAATTGCCTCTGCCATGGTTTATGGCACTGAGAAATGACAGTGAAGTACATTACGGGACTCCAGCAGAACTCCATGGAGTTAAATTTCAGGTTCCGCATGCAACTTTGGAAAAAAATTCCTACAAAAGAACAGATGAAGGGGACAAACGGGTAACAGGCTTGTCTCCTTCAGGCCAATATGCCATTATGTTACCTCCTCTTGGGTCCAGTCCTGTAAATGATTACACTCACACGGGCTTACTCAGTTTTGCAGTGCCAGACAGGAGATGAACTGCCATGCAAATAATCTCCATCAGAGCTGTGCTCTGATTTTGCTGCATCCCAGGTGCATTCGTGAATGGGAGCTTCTCTACACGAGCTTGTATAATGCTGTCAGCCCTGTGATATTCTGTATAAGTTCTTTCAGTATTGTCATCCTACTTAGACAGCACTGCTTTTGGAGAGGATTAAAGGAGGAGCGGCAAATAGAAATCTGTCTGTGAAACAGAACAGGAAAGTGAACGGTATCTCATGGCCTTAGTCACTGATCCTCAGTCACTACAGAAACAATCAGTTTGAGAATACCTCAATTTGAGGTGTTGAATCATATGCCACTATTTCTGGGCTAGATAAGGTCACCAGGTTGTATTCCATTCTGATCTCTCCCAGGAGCAGCCTAGAAGACATCTGCTTTTCTTTTGTCCTCAGTGAAACATGGCCCCAGTGTCTATTGTTCGGAGTCGCCAATTTAAAGCTGTCTAAGGGAGATTTGTATTCCCTGTATTTAGGAGGGTTGAGACTGCTTATTCAGGTACAAGCAGCTTCACAGTGCAACCTTGATCTTCATAATCTTACCCAGGCCTCACATCTTCTTTTCTAGTACTGTATCAGGTCATGTTTTAAATGTCTGGTGGCAGGTGCTTCATCCTTCTGTAACGTGCGCAGACGTGGATCACACGCTGCGTTGGCGTGAGCAGTGGCATTCCCAGCCTGAGGTCAACCAACAGGAATGAGCTGATGACAAGATACATGGCTGGGATAAACAGGATGGACAAGAAGAGCCTGTCTGCCTGTGTGTACTGACACTGAAGCAGAATGCTGCCCTCAAACCCCCAGCTCCATCTAGGTTATCTGGGCTGTGTTATATTTTTCTTTTTAAACATGAAACTGGTTCAGGATCACGTCCTCTTCTTAATCTGTAAGTCAAGGTAAAGAGAACACTGTAGGACAGATACCCAGTAACACCTGCAAATCTCCAGAGTGCTTGAAATACCAATTTGGAGATTTATTTTAATGTTTTTTAAGTGTTTTATATGAAAAATGCTCTCCCACAAAAAATGCACTCACCTTAACTAAATGTGTTATGTAAACTGAAAGATATTAATTCACATTAACCCTTCTACATATGCTTCTTCAGGTATCTTTTCTAAGTAAAATACCTTAAGTTCATTGTAAAGCTTTCCTATGACATTGCCATGCTTTACCCCTAGAACACTCAATACCAAGTTGCCTTTACCAACTTCTGTTTTTTGAGGAGCCTTTTTTTGGAAATAAAGAGCCCCAGGGAGCTACAGCATTTGCGTTTTCTTTGTCCCTCATGCTGTACATGTTCAGATCACCATGCAGGATTACTTGGTTGTTTTGCTGTCATCTCAGAATTCCATTTTGTTGTTGGTGTGTTTTTGAAATAGGAACCCAAGTCTCCACCGATGTCTCCAATCTGCTCACCTCCTGCTTCTCCATCTACTTACCAGAGAATAACCTTAAGTTATGGATATGGTAAATCAAGAACTGGGCTGGAGCAGCAGCATGGAGGTAAGATTCAAAATTGGGATGTGTGCATTGTATTCTATTTTTTTTTTTTTTTTCCCCTCAGAAGCATCCAAATTTCAAATGCAACTGACAATCACCATGATGATTTTAACATTTAATTAGACCTGTATTTTGGAAAGCAATTCAATCTAGTTTTATTTTGATTGTTCAATCCTGTTTGCTTTCTGGTAAATTAGTTAGATTTATGTGTCACTGCTTACAGCTGAATGCTAATACCTAACCTCTGACAAGATTATATGCAATACATCCTGGTGAAAGAGCGTTTGTGAGTATTCTCAGAGTGCATGATGCTTTTGGTTTCATTAGAGAAGAAAAGCCCACTCATAATTTCAGTAGCTGCTGTATGTATCAAAACTATCAAGTGGCCTTCACATGGAAATGATAGCAGTACTGAGTCTCAGCCTTTCAGTTACCAGTTAGGTAAACTCCTGCTTGTTCAGTGATGGGATTTTTCTTCACCCCACCCGTCGCATAAGCGTTCAAAACAGCTACAGCTATTGAGGCTGTCTTCTGATATGATGCATGCTCTGCTCCAGTGAAGATGATGTGGCAGATAGCCCATACCCTGAAAAGCCAGGCAGGAGATGACTATTGGGAGCAGATGACCATGTTACCTGTTGCGCATTCTGCTGTTTTCCGAGACTCTGTTCCAGATCCTTCAGTGTTATGGGGAGGTATTTTGGGTGTTGATTTGCTTTTGTTTCCTCTCAGTTTGACAACAGTTGTAACTTCAGTGAAATTTTTCATGGAGTCAGCAGCTGTGCAAAGTGAGTACAGGCAGTAGCATAAAATCCATCTGTCAACTTGTTCTAAAATTAATTATTCAACTGCTTGAATTTTTAAGGTGATAACATCCTGGAGGTATAGAACACCATGGTTATTTTCCAGAAAGTGAACTTCTTCTATTTTAATCCTATTGGGGATACTTCAGCCAAATGTCTTCTCAGTGGCAGTAAGTGGGTAACATTGTGCAGCCAGGCTAGGTGACCTGCTGGTTCTTCCTGGCCTTCAGACTTAAGACCCTTCCAGTTTTCTGAAGAGCACTCAAAAGGGTGGGTGTGAAAGCCACCACGTTAGTGCCCAGGCAGGAGGTCCTAGTGCCACGGCTCTGAGCCGGGTGGGCTGTTCTGTGCTGCCAGTCTGACCCTGAAACTGGACAGTATGTCTTTGAGGACAGCCCTTTGCACTGCAACCATTACTATATTAATTTTCTTGATAGTTTTGGAAGTTTTTCTTGCTAGCAAACATAGAAAGTGTGGCCTTGTGCTTAAGTCTCCTTTCCAAGGACATCTATATGTTTCCCGGCTTCCTTCCGGTGTTTTTTCTTTGTTTCTTTTTTTCTGAAGTTAGCATTTACTTGTACAGGAATAAAACCAGTTCCCAGTACAGGATAAGAGCACTTAGCAAGGCAAGGGGGTTACAGGTATAATTTTTAAGGTCCTCCTGAGCTCAAAATTTTTAAGATTTCTTCATTTCACTTTTGATAAAAAGTTTTAAGTTATTTAATGCAGGCTGTCTTTGTAGTAGTACATTTTAATTAGGCTGGCAGCAGAAGTTTTCAGCTCTGTAAGAGTTTGCAAGTGAGTTACATACTTGACCTATTTTTAAAACATTGTTCTCAAATGTGCTGTTATGTCACCACTTACTATATTTGCTGCAGCGGAACACATGACTTATTTTAGCAAAAGAAGTAATTGTTACTTTTCTTTACTAAATTTACTCCAAATAATGTGAAGTGGTGAGTCATGTATTTTGGTTTTCAACAGAAATTAGGGAAGGGAAAAGAAGAATATATGGAAAATCAATGATTTACTGTTTGATAACATTGTCAAAGCAGCTTTTTTTTTTTTTTTTTTGCAGCTCAGTTGAATTCTTCTCTTTTGTAATGCATCCTTGGGTTATATATGGCTACTAGCATATAAAATGTATAAATGTATACACAGGCTATAAAAAAATATGTATTTCAACACAGTGAACAATGGTTTCTGTTATCTAGTAATACTTAACTGACAGTTTGTATCAGTAATATCTAAAGAAGAATGATGTTATTTGAAAGATAAGTATGTGACTGGAATTCCATTGCAGAAGGCAGAATAGACTTTGATACTACTATACTAGGTCCACTTGGTAGAAAGTTGACAAAATGGGCTTTGATACTGTAATACTAGTTTCATAAGCTACATTCTTGACCTTGTGGTATTTAATTGCTACCTTTATCCTAGTAGAATCTTTTTTATTTTTTCATATATATACTTTTATTTTAAATGTCTGTAGCTCCTTATGAAATCAGACACTCTACTCACCAGAAAGATGGACCATCATCAGGGAATTATGGACCCAAACCTGCACTTGCCTGTTCAACTCTTAATCGGGTAAATGAATCGCATATTTTTCCTTAGTAGTATGACCAATAAAACAGTAAAGACTTAAAAAAAAAAAAAAAAAGGCAAAAGAAGAAGTCTCACTCCAGAAGTAAAAAGTGCTCGCTGTGTTGTTTTTAGACTCCAGGCTGAAGGATGCATTTTTAGTATACAAAAAAGAAAAAAAACAAAGCTGATGGGAAGGATAAATTAACATAAATAATCCAGTTAATTAAATTCCTGAGGCTGAGTGGTATGAGAAGCAGCAAATGGCATAGATAGGAAAACTAGACTGAGAATCTTCAATTCAAAAGTAAAAAAAAAATAATAAAATTGAGGTTATCCTAGCAAAAGTAAAACATTCTCATGTAAAATTATGAGGTTTCACGGAGATTCCTGCTTGATTTAGAGTGCCATCTGTAACACATGCACAAAATGAATGGCCTAATATTCTTCATATTCCGTTTTTTTTCATCCCAGTTGGTTAAGTCACATCTCAAACAGAAATGAATTTCTGGATATTCATTTGCTTATATGAGATGAGTCTTACGTTTTCCTGCTGGTTGCAAAAGCAGTCCTTTCTGATGTTCCAGTATGCCTACTGTGCACTGACTATGCAAACAGGTAGCTTGCCCTATGGAAGGACGAAGCTTTCTGAAGGGACAGCTTTTCCTAAATAAGTAAGACTCAGAGACTCCTGGACCTTTTTCCTAGTGCTTACCCCACACCCATAATAAAATGTCACCTGAGCCTCAGGAGAGGATCTACGGGTCATGTCCCATAATTTGTACTAACCTGAAATGAAATTGGGTGCACTTTGAAATGAAAATTAATTTACTTCTTTATGATGTTGCCTCTTTTGTAGATCTTTTGATGTATTTCAGAACCAGTGTTTTGTGTTTGTTTCTTAGGAAGTGGGCAGGTATGTCAGAGGAAGGGTTGTGGAACTTATTGGAGCCTGATTATTGTTCATTCTTGCCCACTTTCTTTAAAGAGTGTTGTCATCTGGGCTTAAATCTTGAGTACTTAATTACTCCAGTTTGACAAAGACACTAATTTTGCTGGCAGCCTTCTTCTACACACCACCACCCAACAACCCTTGAACAAGTCAATCAAAAAGCAAGGACATAAATGGATAAAATGTCCTTCCCTTCCAGAATATTCTTTCCTGAAGTAGGATTTTTACCTAAACCATGTGAAGTGACAGAAGGTTGAGGAGATCTCTAGGGGTTTGCATGTCTCCCATGCTTGGCATGTGTGCTGAGTTACCAGGGTAAGCGGAGGGTCCAGAAGCGGTATAGCTCCATAGCTACAGCACTGCTCCTAAACTCAATACATAGTTTCTTTGCAAAGCTAAATTTTCATGCACCATGCTGCATAAATACAGCTTTAGGCCCTTCACTGGTTTCATCCATTTCAGGTGTACAGTGTGCAGTTCAGGACTGTAATTCACGAAAGCTAAAACGAACCCATAAAATGAATCCAGGGGTAATAAAGTGTGAGTTGGACTTTGCTATTTGCAGTCAGCAGTAGTAAAAGGTCCTTTTTCTTTTTGCTTTGGTCATGTAAGACTTCCTTTAATGCTTGGGTAAAGATACTAAATATTAGCCTCAGCTTTACAGATGAGTCGTGGGATGGTAATCAGCATGGATGCTTCTTCTTGTTGTCTTTTTAAAATGTCAGCTAATAGGAGAGAATCTGGTTTCTTGAGGTTCCCAGTGCCCTTCTAGCCCCTCTGCCTGTAGGCAGTGCCCATGTCCCTCCCTTCAGTCTCTTTCAGTGGAGCGGGAGCAGCAGGACAGCAGCACCCATTACTCAGATGACACTTGGAGGATAACAGAGGAGCAGCGAGACTACTACATCAACCAGTTCAGGTCCCTGCAGCCTGACCTGAACTCCTTTATTTCAGGTAATTTTTACAAAACACACTGTGTGTTGAGTAGAGGGACCAGGCCGAGAGGCGAGAACTGTTAAGTAGATAAATTCATTCTTTTTTCTCTCTCAAGTGAGTTTGAGAAGGAGTTGATTGCATTTTCTATTAAAGGCAGACAACTGAAAGAGAAAATAAGCACTGTGGCCATTATGCTTTATCCTAAATAACCTAATTTTAGAAAAATAATTGCATCTAAGGGGCAAGTGTAGGTGATTCAGTAAAAATTAAAGTGAGATCTCTGTGTTTGGCCCACTATATTTGTGGATCACACCTGCAGTGTGTATGGAGCTTAGAAAACGCCTTAGGGTTGTGCTTGCTTTCCCAGCAGCAATGTGGTAGTGTCCGTGTGATGAAAGTGAAGCAAGGAGGTAACTGTCCTGTGTGGTCAAACCTGAGTGTTTATGGCTCTGAGGGACTGAGGTGTTGACCTTTAGGCGACTGAGAGCAAATCCCGGAGAGCACCCACATAATTTCAGTATGCTGTTAACAATATTTTTACCACATTTCCATCCTGAATAGGGGGATTATGCTACTCCTGAGAGGAGTCGCTGTGAATAAAGACAGTTGGCCTGGCAAGGAAGGAGGTCACAGGTTTTAAATTGAGGTGGTTTTACTGAGCTCTGCTGTATTACTGGGGTTAGGCAGTACTTGAACATTCAGAAGTATTGTTTACAGATGATAAATTTGAGCTTCTACAACATCATAAAATTATTAAGCTGTAGAAATGCTTGCTACGGGGTGATACAGATGCTAGAGATTTGCCCAGATTTAAGAATTTATTTCAGAAATCTGTGATTGAAAGATCTGTCAGAAGTTGTTAAATATTTAAGTGCTTTCCCTGTTTGAGAAAGTTCTTGAATCACAGGTGATCAGAGGTTAGGGGATGTTCTGGAGCTATGTTATTATGTAGCTTTGTCATGGTCACACACATCTCTCTTGACATCCGGTGTTGGGGAGGACACACTGTGCTAGGTGAGTCATGGACCTGCCTCAGCGACAGCTTTTCTTACGTGCTGCAGTGGGTGACCTGACCTGAATGTCCAGGGGAAAGAGGAATTACAGACCTAGGTGTCTGTGCTCTGTGTTGCCCTAAGTTTTGTAAGCCTGTATCCAGGAAGGGCACCCAGGGCTTCCTGATAGCCTGTGCATATGGGATGATAAAGTAGATTTGTTAGCTTGGAGAAGAATGAGAAGGGCTATAGTGGCAGAGTGAGTGAGGATGCCTGCAACAGGACATTAGCTATGTGCTGTCTGAATCCCCAGGGTTGTTTGGGTTGGGATTTGTTTTTCCATAAAATTTGAGCCACTGCAGGGAGGTGTGGTGTTTGAAGCAGTGTCTTGGGAGACCCATGAGGATACTACTGTGCTGTACTGACACACACATGGCTTCTAGTATTATTTCATCATTGGTGACATACTAATTATGCTGGTTAGAATCACTGGTACTAAGGAGTGTTTTTTCTTTATTTTTCCTCTATGGAGGGAGTGGGGAAATGAGGTCAACAACTCAGTCTGGCTTTCTCTGTCGCTTATTCAGCAAGAGACAAATGGTCCAACAGCTGCATCCAGTTAATCTGAGCGTCTCTCAGACAAAAAGTAACCAGCTGCTTCTGTCATGGCAGCCCTGGCCAGAGGTAAATAATTGGAGAATTAATTTCCAATGGCTGATAAGGCATAATTTCCCAACAGGTTCTGTGGCAAAGAATTTCTTCACAAAATCAAAGCTACCCATCCCAGAACTTTCTCACATCTGGTAAGTACTCTAATAACATTGGGAATGAGTATCCTGTTTTTTTAAAAAGACTTTTAATTCAAGAGTTCTTGTTAGATTTTTGAAAAGTGTCTTGAATTATAATTATTGCTCTTATCTCCAGAATCACTCTGAGGCCCAAGCAGCAGGGTGCTCACTGATCATCCTGACACTTGTTTTCTGGAGACATGTTCCCTCACTCAGCAGGACTGGGGAGGTTTGAACAGCAATATAACTGAGAGCTGTTCTTAAGTATATTGTAAGCAGCATCATTAGCTCAATGAACTGACATTTTTCATGAAATGACAGAAGAAAAGCACCTCTGGAATGTTTTAGATGTGTTGTTGGTTTTATGTTTCTGTCTGTGTTTTGTCAGAGGAGACCTAATTAAAGCCTAATTTTTAGTAAGCACCACTACATAATTCATCAGTGCTTTTCTAATGAACTAGTACACTTACTTTTAATGAGCTTATTTAGAAATGATTGTGGATGGAACTGTACATGATAAAATTTGACAAGAATTCTGTTATATTTTCATAAACAACATGGTGCTTTGTAATTCAGTGTCATCCTTGCATCTCAAATAGGAAGAACAAACAAGTTTTAAACGTTGATCAGAAATACTGATAGAGGTTTTACTTTTATATAAGCTTTTAGGAAGAGAGATGAGAAGCAAAGCTTGCAAGAGCCTGAACATCTGTCGGGCTCAAAGAATATGTCTGCAATCTTTTCAAAGCAGGTTGTCAGTTGTGAAAATAAAAAAAACCAACAACTAACCAAACAAACCCAAACAACTGAAGAAACACAGTGCTTGGGGAAGTTAATATTGGAATTGAATTTTAAGATTACTTAGGAATGTATTAAGCCAATATGTTAACAGAACAGGTTATATTTCTGTTGCTGACACAAGTTGTTCTCTGTCAAATTTTTAAGAAAGTATTCCTTTCTAGTAGATAATTACAATTTTGTGATGATATGATTTATCAAGTTGTGTTGCTGTGCTAAACAGATGGGATGTTTCAGTCTATGTCATTATAACCTCAACAGCTTGAAAAATGCTCCTTACTTCCAAGGAGTGGGAAGTTATATGTTTATTTGTTTTAGTACATGCACTCATGATAAAATATTACTCAATTCTTCCAAAGAGTTAATATATAAATATGAATTACTGAATTTCTGAGGTTCAGTTCTGGTGTTTGAGAAGCATATTAGAATTAGAGAACCACTTTAGTGAGAAGTTAACACTAACATTTAAACTTGTGAAGTGGATTAATTTAGCTCTTTTCTTAAGGCTAGTCAGTGCTGCTAAGTAACCATTGCTGAAGTCCATTTTTAACTTTCTCTGCTTTAGCTGGCTGAAGATCCTGCACAGATTGGCCAAAAGTGCTTCCATTTGTTGGAAAGCTAATCTGTTGCTTGGAAGTACAGGATATGCATTTTGTGTTATAATATGTACATACCATCATACTGTATGGCACGATGTGTAACACAAAACGTACTCTATTAAAAAAGAAAAAAGTGACAAGTCAGTATTGGGAAATGAACTTGCTTCATCTTCCCCAAGGCAAATGTCCAAGTTAGGATCAAGTGCGAATGACACAGGACACAATGCCTGGTGTTGACACTTCCCTCTGAGAGCTGCGTTTGCCCGCCCCGTGATGGCAGGCCTGCGTCTCCCTGAGGCGGCGGCCCGGGAAACGCGTGTCTGCCGTGCCCGCAGGGAGCTGAGCGACGTGGACTGCGACGGGGCGCTGACGCTCCCGGAGTTCTGTGCCGCTTTCCACCTGGTGGTTGCCAGGAAGAACGGGTACCAGCTGCCCGAGACGCTGCCCGAGACGCTGTTGCCCGAGTACCTTCAGGCAGGTAAGGTCCCTGCGGCGGGTTGTGTTCCTGCAGCCGTCCCGGGAGCCCGGCGTGTGTGTCACGCGGGCGGCGCTTTCCATCGTGCAGGTGGGATGGAGTCCTACGCTGTGTCATGGCTCTTGGGTTGCCTTTTAACACAGCCATTTTTCATTGTGCTTATGAGGTGACTACTGAAGAAAGAATGTGTAAAATAGGGTTACACAGCGTAGCAGTGACCTGCTTCTGAATGTCTGCCTTTTTGCTCTGGTGTGCTTCAGGTGTCGTTGTAGCCGTAGTGGAAGGTGAACTATAGCAGAGATAATCCAACAAGACTTAAATGTTTTTTAACTTGTCTGATGATTTTCCATTCAGTATCTGTCTTTAAAGATGTGTTCCAAATGATACTGGTCCGCTTTAAAACCTCTTTTGCTGATATAATTTTATAGATGCAGTTACCAGTTGTATCAAAGGTTGAACTTTTTTGTAATTCATTTTATGTAATCCACAGATTCTTCTGTAAGTATTTTGCCATAATGACAGGAATTAGAACAGTTTGTGTAGCATAAGGATGAATTAATCCAAAGTATAACATACCTCGGTAACAATGCGCAGTGAGAGACCTGCCCGTTCATTTGTTCTCTTCAGTTATGTCTCTTTTAATTATAAGCGAACATTGAAATATATGCTCTTCCATCTAAAAAATGTGCATGACTTTCTAGGGCAAGGAGGATTAATCACAGATGGTAATTACTGTGCTAAGGGATATTATTTAAGACCTAATAAAATCTCCATTAAATTTGATGACGCTGAACACATTAAAAGACAGGAAAAGAGCAAATCAAGCTACAGTTAAGAAAATTAAATGTTCACCATGTATCAGATTCTTGAAGTAATTTCTGGTGGAGTCATGTTCCTTCTAATCAAGTCTCTTCATATCCAAAGTGAGAAGCTCCTGTAAAACCTGCACTCCCAAGTCTTTACCACTTTTAGTCTCTCTAAATACATTCCCTTGTCATATTTTCCCCTCTAGGACCACCACTTTGTTTGCTACTCTCATGCATGTTCTTGGGGTAAATTGGCTTATAAGTTCCTCCATGCAGGTTCTTGTGGGTGTCTATTCACATTAAGCCCTTTGGAGTAAAACTGCAATGGAAATAACTGTCTCTGGTAGTAGGGAGTTATTGTGTCAATGGGAGGAAGAGCATGGTAAGATGTGGTTCTTCCCTGGAACTCCTCTTGTTCCCTAAGTCGTCCCTTTCAGCACTAGGGTCTTCACCATTTCCTTAGATGAGTATTGTTTTGTACTGTTGCATGCAACCAAGCATTTCAAGCTGATCTTTGTGGAAGAGGTGGAAGAACTAACTGTTTATTAGGGGCACTCTAAATACTTCAGCTGCTATGCTAACTCTGGTTAGCTTCAGGGTCTGAAAATCTCTTGTGCTTGTTCTGCTACCTGGTCAGCATTCAGAAATCTGTCTTTTGAAAGGCTTGCATTAACAAAAAGCAGAACATCTCAACACGCTGTAACACTGTGAATCAGAAGAAAGCACGGAGCCCTGGTCATGTCAGCTTCAGAAATGAAAGCATTGATAAGTAAGCAAGTGCCTCATACACTTACCTAAAATGTCAAAAGAAATTTTCAAAAGAAACTTGTTTTCATAATTTGATTTCTGTGAAACTCAAATTATTATTTTTTTTTTTTCCTTGTTAGGAACCCAGTGAAGGTTACTGGAAACTGTTGTATTAGTTTCAGAATGAGGCAGAATTTGGTTCAAGTGAGAGATTTGCATCTGATAAGAGTACTAAAGCTTCAAATAAAGTGACTTGGAGTGTAAGACAGAGCATTTAAGAATTAATTAATCTTGCTAGTTTTATGGCTATAAACAAGTGCAGGTCCAAGTGCTATCCTGGCACAGCTCCATTGACAATCTGACCCACCACCTTCTTTTTGGAAGGTTTTTATTAAAAGTCATTTATAGAACCTGTAAAGCTGTTTGCCCTGTATGTAACCCACTGAACTGTAAATTAAGACAAATTTGTGAGAGTTTAATCAGAAAAAAATAGATGCTAGCCAAAAAGTAGAAATCTGATGTCAGAACTGGTTATTCTGCCTCTCAATGCATTGATCTTTAAGAGAAGATGTTTTCCAGCTGTTAAGATAAACTTATCTCAGAGGAACTAAACCCAGAGTGGTATCAGCAGGAGGACGTGAGCTTGTGGAACAGAAATGAGATATTTGTGAATATTCCTATGAGAAGTTAGAGCTGATTTTTTTTTTCCTTTTTTTTTTTTTTACCTGCTCTCATTGCTATTTAGTTAAAGATGGTATATGCCACAGCATCTACTGCATTTAGTGTCCCTGCTTTTTGCTGGCCTTAATTTCAGTGTATTATGTAGATTCTACTATACGTTTCAGTATTCAAAATGTCTAAAATTGGACTTGAAAGTTTGGTGAGTGCCTTTAACGTTCCTAAGACAGCAAGGTCTATTAGACCAACTAAGGTCACACTGGTCTGTGAGGAGGAAAAATGTAAATGAACAATTATTTGTTAGTAGTTGATGTTTGCTAAGAATCACTTCTCCCAATTTCACAATTATTTCTACAACAGAAATTAGACTTGCTGTCCCTTTCATGACATTGACTTGGTCAAAATACAAGGCAGAAGTATTTTTTTTCATGGTGCTTCTCATCTGTGGCTTACAGATCAGTTCTGATATGTAGAAATGAAGGGCAAAGTGATGTTGGAACAGGTTTTTAAGAAGTGTGTGTTAACCAAAGATTTGACTGTGGTTTTTATGTTGTGTGTTTTTTTTTTTTTTCCCCTTCCTTTCTTTTTTTTTTTGTTTTCTCCTGCAGCTTCTTTGAAGCCCATGCGTGACTGTGCACTGTTTGATTCTTACTCTGAGACGTTGGCAGGCAGTCAGCAGACCCGGGACTTCAGCCGGACAGAGGTGAGAAGGCGTAAGCAGGGTAGTTACCTTGCCAAGTGCAGAGGAACAGGCCAGCTTCACAATCACTGTGGGGTGCATAGCAGCAGAACTGTGAGCCTTTGAGAGGGCTTTAGGAGTTGCTAAGCTGTCTGTAAGCTACCTGAAACTCTTCTCTCAGCAGTTCCCTTGGTACATGGGAAGGGCTGACAGGCTTCCCAAAAGTTACTCGTACATAACGGAGCTCACAGTAGTCATTGAGGTGTCCATTGTGTGGTGCTGGAACATTACCTGCCCGTGTCCCATTTGTCCCTCTGGCACTGGGAACCAACGATGAGGGGCAGAGCCCATGCTGCAGGACGGACAGTGACGCAAGGACAGTGCTCAAGTGAAGTATCTCCTGAATCTGAATTGGTTGAAAATGTGAGGCTTTGGGCACAGACCTCGTTCTAGTCGGGCGTTCCTGTCTGTGTAGCTCTTTGAATGTTTCTTCCATTTACAGTGCTCTGTTTCCACACTCGCTTCCCCAGTTTTGATGATGAGAAGAAAAATGTCTTGGCTTGTCCTGATTCCTTGTACTTTGTTTCTTTGGAAGCTGAAACTGTCCCAGATTTTGCGCAGCATGGAAATGCATATTTCTCTTCTAAGTGATTCAGTCTTCATTTTAATATCCAGCCTTTTCATAGTCTAAGGAGCTACTATGTAAGTGTCTAGGTAGTATTTGTAATGAAATGGGAAGCGTGTTTTGAGGGAAGAATGGAGATCCACTGTAGCTATATCACAACAGATGCCACCCTTATAGTGGAAGACAATTGCCAGGAAAACTAAATTAAGAGTTTATCACTGAGGTTAAAAAAAACAAAACCAAAACCAAACAACTTTAGTTCAGCTTTACAGGATCTTTAACCATGGCCACTGAATTGTGCCTGGATATTGCAACTCAGAATATATAATGCTGTGGGATTTAAGGGTTTGGTATTTAAGGTAGTGAATCAGAAGGCAGACTGACTGCAAGAATGGGCCCTTCTGATGCTGCTTCCAAGTTAAAAAGTGATGATATCTCATGGCAGCTCAGCAAGGCTGTTCTCCAGTTATTTCCTCCATATGGCTTGCTCTGGGGAGCTCCTGGGTCAGAACCCAGCTGTTCACTTATCGAATTCAGCTGGGTAGTGGTACCACCAAACAGACTCTCCTACACTGCCACAAGGTGCAACATTCACTTTGGGCAATGCTGCAGCCAGTGCTTTGAGCATACAGTTTATCCTCTGGAACTGTTAAAATACCTTCAGTCTCCTTGGGTGTTGTTGCTCTTTGTACAACAGCTTAGCCAAAACACAGCAGTCATACTGGGTTTTGAAAGCAGCACTGCTGTTCTGGTGGTGGGGGCTGCTGGTACATTGGCAGCATAAGTGGTCCTTCACTGTAGCAGAACAGCCCTGTTCCTTGCATATGACCTTATTTTGGGATGCTGGTTTGCAGGGGGCTTTGAGATTGTGCCACAGGCCATGCTGTGCTAGCACTTCTTCACTGCACAGTGTGGCAAAGCTCAACACTCTTTTGAGGCTGTGCCTCATTCACATTTAAGCAAGTGTTACGAGGACAAATTCAAGGCCATTTGTGTTGAAAACTCACAGACCTCACTGATGTCAGCATTCGTATGTATGTGTATACATAACTCCTTTTCCAAACTGCTGTAAGAGTCAACTGAGTATTTGAATTAACTCAATGCATTAACTTAAATTATGAGTTTTTAAAGATAATTACTTGTCTTCTGCTTAAAAACTGTCACATCACTCTGTTTTTTTGTTTTGTTTGGTTTTTTTTAGTAAGCTAAATTCCTGAATGTTGGCGTCTCTTTTTCACTTGGATTTTCACATGCATATACAAGTAAACATGCACATAATAAAAAATATATACATAATTAGATATTTATTTATATTTTGAATAAAATTAAATTGTATCTTTTATACACATAATTAAAAAGCTTCAGTTTATGTAACTTCTTGACTTCAGGATGCACTTCAGTATCTCTGTGGCCTAGGGAGTTCTTATTTTTGTTAGGATACTGGCTTCACAAGGATTACCCAGATACGCCAAGTGGTCTTTGGTTATTGCAGAGTTGTGGGGAAGTTTACTCTTCAGTAGCACAGTCTTTTGGACTGTGAGATTAAAATGTTCTTTTATATATTTCAGAAAGCTCAGAAATCTTGCTTTCAGAGTCATCTTGTGTTTCGTACAAATAAAATGCCATTTCAGTACTCTGATACAATTTTATAATCTTATTAAATGTCTGGTTTTTAGGCCCTTCTTGTTTATGATCCTTGAATATATGTGCAGAGTAAGGATAATTCTAGGAGGAGATGATTTTTCTAAGCAATTAAATTGTGTGGTTTTTTGCTTCTTAATTTTTTTCTGCTGCAGTGGAGATTATAATAGTAGGAATATTATAGTAATAATTAAATAGCTGTAGAGGGTATACAGCACAAAATGTAAAAAACCCAAACAAGCACAAATTGCCCATTTTTTAATTTTTTTAAATTTGGTTTTCAGCAGCTAAGCTTTCAGACCTCCTCTGCTCTATCTCTGTGCCTTCCTCCTGAGACATTCTCACCATAACTTCCAATGAATTGCAGATTACTGCGCTGCCTGTGTAGTCACATAATATTTTGGGGGGAACAGCTGGATTTTCTTCTCCATTCCTAAGTTCTGCAAGGTGGTAGGATGTTCTGCAAAATCAGGGGGGGTTATGACCAGGTTGAAAATGAAGAAGAACCTATAGCATTATTGCCTGCAGGCTAAGCACAGAAAGTGTTTCCTGCCTACATTGCAATTATTTGACTGGTTTTGCTCCATTCCTTCACTGTCTGGGTCCTAGACATTCAGGGCAAAGCTCTCTCAGTTAGTTTCAGGGCTTTGTTATTTTGGTCCTTTGTTAGCCGTGTTTAATGGACTATAAAATCTGTTATCAAAACTGATTTGAGAATGGTTTTGATTTTTGTTCAGCTGATGTTTTCACATTCAAAAATAATACACTGAATGAGTATCATTTGGAAGATCAGTATTTCATCTACCATTCATCTCCCCCTGTGGGAAGTGCAGTAATTCACTGTTGCAATTTAATCTGTAGCTTGGCTACTTGAGGAGATGCAGTTGAGATACTTGAACACTACATTAAAAATATTATATTATCAATGCAGTCAGTTATGCATTATCTCCATGTCTTTGCCTCTTTCCACCTATCATCCATTCAGGCTATTTAATTTCATTTCAGAAGACCATTTTTACTGTGACTGTTGAACTACAGTACTGCAGTACAATGGAAGCAGTTTTTGAATTCATCCATAAAGAAAATAATGGCAGGAGACAGGTCACCTGAATGTTAGGCTTTGTTAAACTTATGAAATGCCCAAAGACTGCTAATGTTATGCTTAAGTTTGTCTCCTACTGTTTGGCTCTTTTCCACAAGCTTTCTCACTGCAAAAAAGCTTAAAGATAAAACATGAGATTTTGCACTATATGCATAAAATAACTGGCTGGATTTGCACTAAACACCCTCAGAAACATCACATTCACAGTTCATTGAAATTTGTGAGAGTCATCCCATCAATTCAAGCATGCACTGAATTAGGTCTTTAGTCTGACACGTTGCTTTTGAGTGTCAGGGCTAGTTACAGATGTGAAGTGTGTTGTTATATATTTCAGTGTCCTCAAGCCATGTATTTGCTGTGTTGCTTCCTCAGAAGCATTAGGAAATCCCAAATGCAACTTCATAAGAGTTCTCATAGCCCCTTACTCTGGATATGGCCTTCTTAAATTACTGACTTGAGATTTTGAGTGTTTTTCTTCAACTGTCTATGAAATCTGTATTTCTGATTTTATTTTTAAGGCCAAATTTCTGGCCATTTTTAGGTCCAGCCTCTGCCATTTTCCCTGGGGAAAAAAACCAGCCCCTCTTAATATTTAGAAAAGCTGGTGTTTTTTGATGTTTGCTTTATTGTTGTTTTGGTTGCAGAGTGTATCCTTGTTCTTACAGACAGTGGAGGCAGAATGTCTTCTGAGCTACAAGAACTGTAAATGCTTATAAGTCACTGCTGAATTAAAGGAAAGTTAAGGAATAAGATTGAGGAGCCAGGTCCCTGTTTTCCCATCAGAGGACTGGACGGGCCTCCAACAGACATGTTGATGAAATTTGGTTTTCCCATTTCAGTAACTGCCTGTTGAAAGAGAAGATTAGTTCAAGGATCAGCTGGCCCAGCCAGAAGACGCTAAATGCAGAACTAGTGGCCTGTGCAGTATGGCTGGAGTTTGGGATAGAGAGACAGCTCTGATGGAGACTGCTCGCAGGTTCTGCCCACAAAGAGAATACAAAACACAGAATGCCATTGCTCTGTTGTGGGAAGTCTCTCCTTGCATTTAATCCTTAGCTCCTTGTGAGTCACTGCTGAAGTGCTTCTCTAACTAATTTCAGGTGTGGAACTGCTGTACCTGAAAAGCAGAGTTCTGTTGTCTTTCTGTATGTCCTCTCTACTTTTTTATCTGACAAGCAAATCGTGGTGCAAGGGAGAACGCCACCTTTATTTGTGATTATCTGTATTCTTAAATATTTGACTGTGGAAATGTGAGCTATACCAATCAGCACAGTAAATAAATCTTCTTTCTATAAGAAATCAGCCGAGGAGGTACCTGATAAGTCTGCGCTGTTACAAGATGGAAAGAAAGATGACAAACAAGGTATTCAACTACATAACTTTTTTTCCCCCCATTACAGATTAAATTGTTTGTGTTTTTAGTAACCCTATATAGTTTATGACAGAAGCAATGGTATGTTTAATTTCAAAGCTGGCTATGTGTTGCTGTGTATTTAAAGACTCATTGACAGCAGCTGGGTTGAAGCAAATACATGGATGGGTTTGCTTCAGAATGGGTTCTATCATATGTGAATGGTATGAAACACACCTTCTAAAATATGTCTAGTCCTAATGCAATTAATGTTGCACTTCAATTTTAACAAAATTGTAATTGTTGTTAGTATGAATTTTGTAAGAGTGAAGACTACATTGTGCCAAATTTTGGATTTCCCTTTCTGTAGGAAATAGCAACATTTCAAAGGTAGTTTTTAGTCTTAATTTAAAAAAAAAAATCCTGATATTTTCTTGCAAAACAAAAATGGATTGAAAATTCTTGATTCATTTATTTCACTTGAAATCCAGCAGCAACAAGCTATGTAAAACTGAAGTGATCTTTTTCTTTTTCCACATAGTAGTTTCTAGGGCTTCCAGAACCAGCACTGGATCATCACACAGTCATTCGTTCCTTTTTATGTTCCCTTTTCCTAACCTTTCAGGTTCTCACTTGCTGTCCCTCAGTTGTGGAAACAAAACAGTTGTGGGTGTTTTGTTGCCTGATTCTCAGAGCTGGGGGATTATACATTAATTTTTAAAAAAAATATAGCCTGACCTTCCATCTGTCCACGTGTTAAGGTTGCATCAGAGCTATGAGAACAGGTATTCCACATTCCTGAATCACCTTCTGTGCTCAGATGTGACCAAGCTTGGCAGATTCCCAGTGTCCGTGGTTCAAAACAGGGTTGTCAGAGTTGACGGGTGTTTGTAAAACATTCTGAGAAGTCAGCATATTCCAAGAAATTAATGTTTCATTGACAAGGTTTGTTTTGTTGTAAAGTTCATAATGAGCAAGAGCAGGACTTGAACCTTGAAGGTTATTACTTTGAAGTGTCTATGGAAGATTTACTTTTTACTAAGAGAACTTCTGCTTTGCTTTTTGTAGCTGGCGTGAAGTTGGATGGGAAGCTGATTTGGTACATCAGTCCTTGAGGGCTGAAGATCTGCTGTATTTATGAGACAGACTTGTACCTTTTCAGCCACAGAACAAATGTTTGTTCTACCACTTATTGCTGTTCTGACAAATGTAAGAGCAAATCACTCTCCTGACTGAGGAGATCTCCTCAGAAGTCAAGAACCTGTAATTCAGGACAGTAGAAGCAAAGTTTCCTGCATTTTCAAAATTGTACAAGTAAATTAGCTCTGCTCTGTCAGGCTATTACATAGTTAAATATGGAAGATAATGTAAATAGAACTGGATCACTGGAACCAGACTTTTCACATGTTTTGATAAAGGCGGATGGAGATGAGAGACTTCATTCCAAGTGGTCATTTATATTTGTGTATTATAGTACATTAAAAAATGCCATAGTACATTAAGAACATCTTAAGAAAATCATTAATAAAGGCTGATAGGCTAAGTGGAAAGGGAATAAGCAGAAAGATTAGGATTTCCTAGATTTTAACTCCAGCTGTGTTGTGCCAGATGGTATTCCCTGGGGCCGGCTGGTGAGGTTTCAGTTGCCAGAAGCAGCCAGTCTCTTGTGTGCCTGGCTGTTCAGGTCTGTACCTTGGGAGAGCTGGGACTCATCTCTCCCAAGTGTCGCCAGCTGCTGTCTCTGAGAGTACTGCATCCCTAAAACAAAAGTCTTCCTTGGTTTTAGGCACTCAAACCCCCAGATTCTCAAAATTTGAGATTATTTGGTACTTGGGCATAGACCTTTCTGTTCTTGACTTCTGTGCTCTTAGAAATTTTTACTTGTTTGAGTGCTTGAGTGTCCTGAGGGTATTTATTTGAGGCTACTTTTCTTTTCAAGTATGTTTGGCATTATTAGATGTTCTAAGTGATACTAGTTTAAATGCTCCTTTCTCAGACCTGATACCTTTAGATTTTATGAGCCCATACTTAAAGTAATGAGATTTCTTTTTTTTTTTTTTTAAGCTCTTAAAGCAAGTGCTGCTCTCAAAACGATACCAAAGGAATTTCAGCACTTGACTGTGAAAACAGGTAGGAAGGAAACAATGTCATGTATTACTTCCTTTAGAATTTTAATAAAATATTTTTATATCACAGTAAACCCAAATTAGTATAATTTGATTAAAATTTAAGATCTTTTTGGTCTCATACTATTTTACTACTGAAATTAGGTTTTACCTCAATGACTGCTACTTGCAAGATTACTACTTCAGGTTATCAAAAAGCTTTTCTTTCTTTCCGTCATTGTTAGTGTATATGTTCTTAATGTGTGGGAAATGATTTTAACATAGCATTTTTTAAAGGAGTCTGAAGTTTTTCTGTGCTACAAACAAGATGCAAGGACGTGAATATTGTACTTCTTGGTAAAACCTCTTCTAAAGTATGTAATAACTGTAGTTATGACTATTGTTTCAGTAGCTATTCTGAAACAGCCTGTTTTTCTTTGTAAAATCTTTAATTTTTTTTCTGTCAAGGAGTTTAAGGGTAGGTAACCTTTTGGAAACACAGACCTTGAGGCACTTAACAGTGCAAGCTTTTCATACGGCGGGTGTTTCTTTGTTGAAACCACTCCTGTTTTTCTCTCTTCAGCTCCAATATGCACTCCTTGTTCCTATCCTACTGGACAGTGTTATTTCTGGAACAGCGTATGTCAAAATTACTACTTGCTCCAGAAACTTCCCATGCATTCAGTTCGGTTCATCAGACCTCCCTTGCCTTCCTCTTTGTTAATCTCTTTCCTAGAGTGGTAAGAGTGTTTGCAAGCCCTCCCTGGTCCCAGTCAAACAAAAATCTGGATTTGCTTTCTTCTTTTGCATAAATGTTTTTACTTATGACGATATAGAAAACTGACCCCATATGTCTGTCACAGCAGTTTTGTCTTATAACTTGATCTATTCATGGCTTCTCAACAGCTGCATGCCTCATTTCCCAACTCTTTTTCTCCTGGCTTCTCCCCAAACACTTGGCAGCTGCCAGATTTCTTATCTTCAGCTCCTATTCTCAAATAATTACTGCTTCTCCTTTGCACACCCACACCCTTGTTCAGTTCCCTCTCAGGGGGAGAAAAGGCTGGTTGCAGGACTTTCAGTTCTGTTCTCCTTCCCACCAGGTTTTGCCAAGGAGCGGCCCTGGGAGTTTTATTTTCAGTTCAGCAATTTCATCTTTAGTACACTTAAGAAAAACTATACTGGCACCTACACATCTCCTTTGCCACTGACCTTTTCTTCCCCTGTGTCCTTCATCTCACAGTTGGGGAGGTCTTCCCGGTGGTGCTGTGCTCCTCCAGCAGCATTGCTGTGTTTGTATACCAAAAGAGATGGTGGCAGAGTTTCACCCCATCATCATGACTCCTGCCACTGTAGGAGTTTCACCCTTGCTGTCCTAATATTGAGAGTCTGAGGAAGCACATTCTCAGGTTGCATAATACAACTGATGTTAGAAGTAAAAATGTGCATCTGTCCAGTGGGCTAGGTATAGCACAGTAATTGAGTAGTCATTTCAGAACTGATCACAGTTCTGAAAGGTCGTTGTAGTCATTAACCTTCAGGATGGACACTCAAAATGAAGTGGGTGAATTTTACATCCTTCTTTGGCTGTTCATGTGGACTGTTTATGTAAATTCAGGAAAGATGATACTGCTGTGCTTCATTATGGGAAAGTTTTCTTTGCCATCAGAAGGTTTAGAAATTTGAAATCAGTAAAAGCTTTATATGCTCAGCATCTCTGAATATCTGGCTAGTTTATTTAGGCTCCTAAATGCAAAGTCATTGTTAGCTTTAGACTTTGAAAGGATTGAGGACCAAATTTGCAAGTGTTTAAATTGCACATTTCTGCCTAAGCCACCATTAAGAGATGAGTCAGTGGGGGTGATTTAGACTAGTGGGGAATCCTTTTTTTTTTTTTTCTTTAGCCATGTCTTCCACCCAATCTTCAGCCTGTAAAACAAGGAGGCACCAGTTTGAGTATAAGGTATTAAGCTGCAGCCAAAATTACTGAATCAGCTTCCTTTGGAATGTTAAAATGAAGTTGTATTGGAAGAGGGTCATGGGAGTAGTTAAACACCCAAAATGGGAATTTTCATACTCTCCTGTGAATGAACAAATAATAATTTATGATCATATGTGACTTCAGTTAGTGCAGACGAAGCTGTTCGGTTCATCAAGCTCTACAACTGCAAGAATCATACAAACTTTTAAATAATATATGTAATTAATTTATTTGACAGCTTTAATTCTATCATTTTCATATAAGTTAGGCTTATGTATCCATAGCAATGGAAATGTGGAAAACTTCTGAACTAGATAGATAGTTTGTATTGTCTTGAATGATTGTCATGTATATGTATAAACCTGCACCTCAAACACAAAGTACCCACAGACTGAGCATACCAAAATAACTGCATGTTTTATGGAAATCCTACTACCATTATTTGCTTGTCCTAATAATGAACAACTTGCTTTCTAATATTTTTTTTCTATATTCTTTTGAAAGGTAAAGCTGAGTCTGGGTATTGTGTAATTGTAGCCTTGAGTTTCCTGATTTTTCAAAAGCTTAAAAGAAAATCCTTGGCAGTAGCATTCTACTGCAATCTTTTTTTTATGATTTTGTGATTCTCTCTTCCTTGTGTTCTTTCTTGTTGAGTTCAACAAGATATCCTTGGAGAGTTTGAACATTAGTTTTACCTGCAGGTTTTTAGACAAAAGGCTTTCTAAAAGAAATATGAACGGAATTATGATCTCCATAAAATAAAGGTTCTTAAACATGGCTTATCTTGGAAGGGATTTATACTTCCTATTTCTAAGTGGCATGTGTTTAATAATTGTGCATGTAATTTAATAATCAGCAATTTCAGCACTGGAAAAATTGGGTCATATGGCTCTAGGGAAGCCATGTCTGAAGTTGTATTCTCTGGGAGTTTGACACAGAGAGAGAGAGAGGAGGATTACCACCACTACATATTTTAATAATAATTCCCTTTCCCTCCCTTAGTTGCTAGGAAGAGTTTGTTGCACAGAACTCTGAAATGACTGCGAGCCAGTTTGGTGGTGACAACAATCTACTAGAACTTGGTTTATAACTGGTCATTTGAGTTGCTGCCAGCTGCATTTGGGTTTATTCCATCCAAAGCACAGCCTAGCATGGCGTGACCCTAAAAGCAGTTTCTTTTATGAGGAAATAGTGTGTGGCTATACACGTACCATATGCTGCTGCTTGTCTTCTGTGAACCTAAAGCTTCCTGTGGAGGGTCTGTGCAAGCCACTAAAAAGCCAGTATTTGCCAAGTATTACAGGTAGCTCCTGGTCTGTGTTTTGGAAGGTTTATCCTATTCTCAGGCACTGCTCTATAGTAGCTGGTGATAAACGTCTGACTTGGAAGCAGACATACATCTGAAGGAAGCTAGAACTCTGAGAATTTTTTTTTTTTTTTCTTCTCCCAGCCTACTTGCTTCTCTTAAGTTTTGTACCTTGATTAGCAGAATAATGGGAAGAGTACAAGGATTCACTTAATGTGTGCTTTGGGACCATTGATGCTGCTCTAATACCTTGAGGATATCTCAGTGGGCTGAATCTGAAAGCAATCACACAGATATGTGTTCTCAAAATTATCTGATGTTAGTAAAGAGAGTAACAGAAAAGTCACAAAAAGGCTATGTAAACCAAGGAGCAGCCTCAGGGACTTACCCAGAGAAGATAAGTCAGCACTGTTGTTTTCCTGTGGCGTAAAACCTGCATGTGGCAGGATATTTGGAATTCATAAAAGAAACCGATTTTTTTTGTTGAGAGGAATGTTTGATCAACACTTAGCCTGTAAGCTTTCTATCATCAAATATCTTTCTTTCCCAGTGTCAAAGTAGTCTCAATGTGATGTGTCATGTTTTTTATTTTTTTTATGGGTGGTAAGATGATGTGCTTTTATACTGATTTGTTAAAGGTCCTTTCCAACCACAGCGATTCTGTGTATTTAGGAAGGACATAAGTCTTTGTGCTTTGGGAAACAGGGCAAGTAATAGATATCTGGACTAGGAGTGAGATTTTCTGTGGAAAATTTATGCTATACTTTATGTTGCTTTGTCACAACTCCATCCAGGAGTACAGGTCAGAGCTGTGAGACCTATTGCCTTTCCTCTGTTCTGGTAACCAAATTAAAAGGTGAACCCCTGACTATAAGTAGGCTTTTGAACTCTTAGGACGTTCACACACTACAAAAACAA